GAGTACCACAACTCGCGCACTCACAACACCGTCGACTGCCACTACTTCAAAAAGGCGCTCAAGATAATCTCCGATCGAGGAGGGGTAAGGGAGATGATCCAAAAGGCAGATCAGGGAAACCAATCCCCGCGGGAACGCAGTCGCTCCCCAGTCGCCAGGCCACCAGTACAGGAGCGCCTAGGCCCCAACCCGAACGTCAAGGAGATAAGAACCATCGCGGGAGGGGAGCCTAGCCGAAAGAAGAAGCGCAAGGGGCAAGCAAGCGACACATGGTGTATGAAGATCGCAAAACAGGATGGTCCCGACCTGTCGTTTACATCACAAGACTATCCTCCAGAGGGCCCATCTGAAAGCCCTCTCGTCATCAACATACAAGTAGAAGGTTTCAAGGTGTTCAGAGTGCTGGTGGATAGTGGGAGTTCCGCTGACATACTCTTCTATTCTTGTTGGCGCCAAATGCAGACACCCCCTGAGGTGATGCAAGCTTCAGAGGCCCAACTTGTCGGCTTCTCCGGAGCGAAAGTAAAGGTGTTAGGAGCGGCGCGCCTACAAGTCAAGGTAGGAGATGAGGAGCCAAGTGCTACACATCCAGTGGACTTCCACATTGCCGATTGCCCGTCCGCATATAATGCCATTCTGGGAAGGCCTTTCCTAGCTAAGTTTGGAGCTGTAGCCTCAACCTGTCATCAAGCAATGAAATTCCAAACACCCCAAGGAATGGGAATAGCCAGAGGAGATGTGAAGACAGCGAAGGCGTGCTATGCAGCAACCCTACACAAGCCAAAAATACACACGATTGATGCCAGGCCAACAGAAGTGCCGCGACCAGGAGCGGTAGATTCAGAAATTGAGCTGCCACTAGACCCCGATGACCCAAGCCGAGTCGTCCGACTCTCAGCCCATTTACCGGAGCACATGCGTCTCCCAATGATCAACTTGTTACGGGAATACTCAGACTTGTTTGCTTGGAGTCCCGAAGACATGCCAGGAGTTTCTAGAGACCTTATGGAACATAAGCTCTCCGTGAAACCAGAAAGTGTGCCAGTACAGCAAAAAAGAAGGGGAGCATCGTTGGCAAGGAGGGTGGCCATGATGGAAGAGGTACAAAAGTTACTTAAGGCAGGATTCATCCGAGAGGTGCAGTACCCGAAGTGGTTGGCAAACACAGTGTTAGTCAAGAAACACAACGGGACATGGAGAATGTGTATTGACTTCACCTCGCTAAACAAAGCATGCCCGAAGGACCCGTACCCCTTACCAAGAATTGACCAGCTGGTCGATGCCACCTCCAACCACGAAATGTTAAGCTTTCTCGACATGTTTTCAGGGTACCACCAAATCCCTCTCAGCGAAGAAGATCAAGAGAAAACGGCTTTCATGACCCCGTACGGGAACTACTGCTATGTAGTGATGCCGTTTGGTCTGAAAAACGCGGGTGCCACCTATCAGAGGATGGTAGACAAAGTATTTGGAGAGCAGATAGGACGAAATGTGGAGGCGTACGTAGACGATGTGTTAATCAAGAGCAAGAAAGAGGGTGACCATCTGAGCGACCTCAGGGAGACGTTCGAGAACCTGAGGCGTCACAATCTGAAGCTTAACCCCCTCAAGTGTGTATTCGGAGCAGGTGCGGGTCAATTCTTAGGCTTCATGATCACTCGCCGTGGTATTGAGGCTAATCCGAAGCAGATAAAAGCGATTTCCGAACTCAAGTCACCAAGAACAGTAAAAGAGGTTCAAGCGTTGGCAGGTAAACTCGCCGCTCTTAACAGGTTCATTCCAAGGTCAGCGGATAGGTGCGCCCCACTTTTCAATTCTCTAAAGAAGAAATCCAAATTCAAGTGGACAGAAGAATGTGAGAAGGCGTTCGAAGAGATGAAGACTCTGCTAGTGAATCCCCCCATCCTCGTAGCTCCAAAGGAGGGAGAACGTTTGTTCCTTTACATAGCCATATCAGACGTGGCTATCAGTGCGGTGCTTGTTAGGCGTCACCTTGAAAATCTTGCAGATCAGCCGGTATACTATATTAGTAAGACGCTTCTCCCAACTGAAAGAAGGTACCCAGCCATCGAGAAGGCAGCCCTGGCATTGGTAACTGCCGCCCAGAAACTGAGGCCCTATTTCCAGGGACACACGGTCGCGGTACTAACTAACCTGCCAATGAAAAGAATTCTTCACAGCACAAGTGCTTCGGGACGTCTAACCAAATGGGCAGTCGAGCTAAGTGAGTTCGATATCCAGTATGCTCCTCGACCTTCAATTAAGGCTCAGGTCCTAGCAGATTTTGTGGCAGAAGGAACGATCGAGCCTACAGGGATCGATGAAGGAAGGTGGAAGCTGTTTGTCGATGGTGCGGCAAGCAAGACAGGTGCAGGCGCGGGCATAGTCTTGGAAACGCCAGGGGGAGTCACGCACGAAGTGGCCTTACGATTCTCAACACTTAAAACCAACAATGCGGCAGAATACGAGGCACTTATCAACGGAATGCGCATCGCAGAGGAGCTAGGGGCAAGGCGCCTAGACGTCTTCTCCGACTCCGCATTGGTGGTTCGGCAGGTGCTGGGGGAGTTTGAAGTCAAGGAAGATTGTTTGCTGCGTTACGTGGAAGAAGCAAAGAAGAGGGCTCAAGGTTTCGAGGATTGGAAACTCTCTCATATAGCGCGAGGTGACAACGCGCACGCGGATGCGCTTTCCAAATTAGCCACAGCCGTCGACTTTGAAGAGGAACGACATGTAATTGTCGAAAAGGAAAGCCCGAACACTCCGGAGATGGGAGTAAACAGTGTTAACGTCAATCAAGAGGAGCAAGATTGGAGGGTGCCGATCGTTGAGTACCTCATGAATGGTACCATTCCGACAGATTCAAAAGAGGCCACAGGAGTAAGAAGGCGGGCGGCACGTTGCACCATCATTGGCTCGGAGTTACACCGGCGGTCGTTCGAGGGAGTATATCTCAGGTGCCTAGGAAAAGCTGAAGCAAAGTGGGCACTCCGCGAAATTCATGAGGGTGTGTGTGGGAGACATGGGGGGCCGAGAAGTTTGGAAAGAACACTCAAGTTGCAAGGGTACTATTGGCCAACCATGAGAAATGATGCAAAACAATTTGCTGCGGCATGTCACGCATGCCAAACCCATGCCCAGGAGCACCACCTTCCAGCCACCGCAATGCAAGGGAACGTCAGTCCTTGGCCCTTTGCCCAGTGGGGAATGGATCTGGTGGGTCCTTTCCCCAAAGCATCGGGAAAACGGAAATACCTTATAGTAGCAGTGGACTACTTCACAAAGTGGATCGAGGCTGAGCCGCTGGCCACCATTACAGCAAAGCAAGTCGAGAAATTTGTCTTCAACAACATACTTGCACGGTTTGGCATCCCAAACTCTATTGTCACTGATCATGGCAAACAGTTCGACTGTAACTCCTTCGCAGATTTCTGTCAAAGTTACAATATCCAGCTCAAGCTCTCATCAGTAGCATACCCAGAAGCAAATGGACAGGCAGAGGCGGCAAACAAAACCATACTTCAAGGACTGAAAAAGCGTCTTCATGAGCAGAAAGGAAATTGGGTAGACGAGCTCCCCCACGTACTGTGGGCACTACGCACCACCCCCAAAGGCTCCACAGGTGAGACCCCATTCGCCCTGACCTTCGGTGCGGAAGCAGTAACCCCCACGGAAGTTGCGTTGCCCACCTTACGTGTCCAATGTTTCGGCGAGGAAAACAACGCAAGCATGGCTCATGAACTAGACATGCTAGACGAGAGAAGAGTTCAGGCACTTAAGAAGTTGGTGGAGGATAAGGAGCAGTTGGCAAAATACTACAACTCAAAGCTGAGGCCACATCACATCGAAGAGGGAGATCTTGTCCTGAGGAAGGTGTTCCGCCCTGACCCGAATCATGGGAAGTTGGCTGCTAAATGGGAAGGACCCTTTGTCGTAAGGGAGGTAATAGGACCAAGCACTTTCAAGCTCGCCACCATGAAGGCAGAACGTGTGAGCAAGACTTGGAATGCAAAGCATCTGAGGAAGTACATGTGCGACCAGGAGGCACGAGAGTAGTCGGAAGATGGACATTTTGTAGGGAAGAGGGGCGTCCTTGGAGAGACGTAGCCCGAAGACACCCTAAGAAAAATCGGAGTGTGTTCAGTTTTCTTTACTTTTCTTTACTTCAAAGTACTCCAAAAGATAGGCATTTTTGTAGGGGGGAGGGACGCCTTCAAAGAGGTGTAACCCAAAGATACCCTAAGAAAGGTAGCAGCATAGGAGTCATTTCTCAGATTGGCATTGATAGAAGTTTATGGGAAAGGGGACGCACCCTGGCGATACCCCATGTAACCCTTTATTTTGCTCAAGGAATGGAGACTCATTACTCGGCAAAGCAAAACTATCCCTGTTTTAACAGATGGAGTCTCTCCCGACTCGCTTCCTCCGTCGAGGAGAAGCCTAAGCGTGTTTCCTCTTGTTCAAGAGCACACGTAAGAAAAGCTAAGTTTTTGTCTAGGATAAGCATCCTAGCGGAACATTTTTCCCGCGAACCGGCGGAAGAGCCCTAGCGCTTACACTTGGTTTTCATCCAAGTATCGGGCGCTCGTTGTGCGAGTCCCCATGAGAGGCGATAAAATTGATATCCCTCGTAAAAATTCCTGCCTCGGCAGAAGGGGTCACCCAAACCCGCTTCCTCCGTCGAGGAGAAGCCTAGACGCGTTATTTCTTTTTCAAGAATACGCATGGGAATCCTAAAACTTGCTTCCTTCGTTGAGAAGAAGCCTAGACACGTTACTTCTTCATCAAGAATACGTGTGAAGAAATCTAAAGCTTGCTTCCTTCGTCAAGAAGAAGCCTAGGCACGTTACTTCTTCTTCAAGAATACGTGTGAGGAAACCTAAAACTTGCTTCCTCCGTCAAGGAGAAGCCTAGACACGCCACTTCTTTTTCAAGAATACGCATGGGCGGCCCAAAAAGAAAGAGCCTGGGCGCGTTACTACTTCCTATCAAATATATGACAGAAATGAAACAACATTCACAATAGGTCCAAGAAAACGGAAAACTTGCTGATAACGCTGTTCCAAAATAACAGCCCGAAGGCTAAAACATCCACAGACATGCAAAGGAGAAATGAGCAGAAGATAACATAAAAAGTGACTAAGTCCAAACGAACAAGGAAAAGAAAAAACGTCCCAACTCTACTAGTCTGACTTGCTCGAATGATTGTCGGACGAGCTAGAGTCACCATCGGTACCACCATCCGAGGCGCCACCCTGACCATCAACAACAACCACGTCCCCACCACCTTCCCCGGCACCAGCATTGGCATCAACGTTGTCACCTACTCCCTCTTCCCCAACCTTCTCAACGTCAACCTCCACATCATCGGCAGAAGAGTCACCCTCATCCAAGGGGTACGGGTCCGAGTCAGAAGGCTCGTTATCTGTACCAAGGGAGAGGAAGTAGTCATCCATAGCCTGCCAGACCTCCGGAGTATCCCACTTCATGTCAGGATTATCGGAGCGGACCTTCTTGCGAATGCCGATGAAAGCCCTCTTCTTCACTCCGAGCAGCAGGTTCTGCTGCCACTCACGGAATTCCGCTGATGACAAGTGGGCGTCTACGGCATCCTCACGCTCCTTGATCAGTCTCTTCTTAAATTCCTCCTAAAAAAAAAAAAAAAAAAAAAAGAGGGTGTGGTTATGCGCCTAGCTCAAATGAAGGGAGAGCGAGAAAGACACAAGAGAACTCACCTTCTGGTGACCCCTAGCGGCAGACATCGCCAACAGCTCCTTCTCCAAGGTATCAATCCGCTTCGCCTGGAATGCTATCTCCTTCTCTTTCTCTTCACGAGCAGAAACACTCTCAGCAGCCAAGGCATCTGAAAGCTGTCGCTTCACCGATGCCAACTCATCCTCCAGACGAGAGTTAACACCTTGGAGGGTGATCTTGTCAGTTTTCAACTGAGAAGCCTGCAGAAAGTTCTGGTGGGCACGATCCCGATTCTCCGCACTCTTGTCAAAAAGAGTAATCACATCAAGCATCGCCTAAACAAGAGACAACAACAATTAGTAATGAAGCATGATCTACTAATAATAAAAGTGTGTGGGAGCATACCTGGAACAAGTGCTGACACGCCGAGCCTGCAGGAGAGGTACCCTCGTCAAGGGGAACCTTAAGGAACTTCTTCAACTCCAAGGCCGAAGTAAAAGCGCTTGGAGCATTAAGAGCAGCGGACGGAGAGATTGGAACAGGCTCCTTCGGCTTTACGGCACGTCGCGAGCGAGGAGGTGCCAAAATCTCATCAATGCTCCCAAGGCTCGGCTTGTTCTTCTTCTTCGGAACCACAATGGGAGAGTCGGCCGAGGCATGGCGCTTGCCTAAGGTCTTCTCTGGGAGAGGGTCGCGCGACCCCAAGGAAGGAAACAATCGAGGAGACGCCTCCTCGACGTCATCAAACGCCTTGCCAGATGAACGGGGCGTTCGCTCGGCAGGGATGCTAGGCGCCTTCTGTGCCCTAGCTCTGGAAGTCCCAGGAATCGTCTTAGTCATCTTCGCTAGGCTCGAGTAGTCAGAATCTGCAAAAAAAAGAGTTACGCAAATACCATAAGTTGGGACACAGAATAAAATCATTCGAAAGGAATATACCATGGTCGTAAAGTTCTCCCAGGGCGCGCGCTCTCTCCCCTTTTCTCCCAAAATCCACAGGGGGCGCACGAAGAATGTGGTGCTTCTGTTCCCGCTCAGGCTTCGCAAGGGTAAAAGCCTTAGCCCAAGTTTCTTCCGAACCCTCACCCCACAGAGTCGAGAGAGGCGCCGAAGTTGGCGCATGCCAAGTGCCGGGGGTCGGCCTAATAAAGAAGTAAGAGCAATACCATTTGCTAGGGAGCTTAGGTGATCCCTTGCAAACCCGCCCCTGGTACTTACTATCGCGCTTCACCGCCGACCAGCCATGCTTACCCCGCTCCAATGCATATATGCTACGAAAGATAGAGAATGAAGGGGTGTAACCTAGGCGCTTACAGATGAGTCGGAAGGCGCAAGTGTGAAAGATAAGCGAGGGGGACAGGAAGCTAGGAGGGCATCCAACCATCTCCAAAATACCCGATAAAATAGGATCCAAGGGGAACTTCAAACCACACTTCAGATACTCCGAGTAAACCGCAAACCAACCCTCGGGACAACTCCCGATACGAGCATTACGATCCGGAATCGCATATCCCCAGTCCGTAGGGTAACCGAGGCCGCGGATATAAGATATGACGCGATGAAGTTGAATGCTGGGTCGCTTGTCAGGACCCAGTAGGCGCGCCGAGGAGGGAGGCACCTCACCACCCCACATCCCCCGCCATGGCAAAATCGTATAACCTGAATCGGTAACCATCTGAGAAGGCGGACGAGGGCCGGAGTCCGCACTTGACGCATCATCTTCAGTAAGCACCTCCTGACGAGTATATGATTGATCATCCTCGATGTCACTAGCAATCTCGGCGAGTCTCCATTTGGATCGTCTATACACTGTTTGATCCGCTAAGATTCCCAAACAACAAATATATGATACTAAAATCAACAAGATAGAGAGTGTAACTTACCCATCTTCCTAACTTTACTTGAGGACGCCTTCTCCTTTCCTTTCTTGGAGGCAGGGGCGCCACCCACAGACGCAGAAGGTTGAGAATTGTTGGAAGCCATGAGTGAGTGGTAAGCAGCGAAGTTAACCTTGGAGGAGAAGCGTGTACAACGCCTAAGTCGATAACGTGCGGGTAGAAAACCGTTGCCTCCCGTGACTGCGCTGTGATAGGCGCCTCTAACGCCTTGAAATTAAAACCTGCGAGCAAGCAGTGGGTTATGACACCCCAAAAATCGTCATAGGCGCCTAGCAAAGAGCACAACAAGTCCCGGTGACAAACAAAAGAAGGCGCCACCTTAGCAAGGTGCGGCAAACAACACGAAAGGAGAGGCGTCTCCCCAGAAATTATCATAGGCGCCTAGCAAAGATCCATTACAACAGACTCGACAAAATCAATAAAGCAGCGAGCATCATCACCATAGGCAAAAATCATCATAGTCATAATCATCATCATCACAGACAGCAAGTATCTTAGCCTACTTACAATCCCTAATCAGGTGAAATGGTCGAAGGCGCCTATCTAAGAAGTGGCGCCTACAAACCCTAAATTGGATGCAATAATCAAAGGCGCCTACGTAAGAAACCCTAATCGAATTAAATCGAATTGCCAAAAGAAGTAATCAAGGGCGCCTCATCGGCGCGATATAGGAAACACGTACCTAGAGAATGAGGCGGCGACCCACAGCAAATCAAGGCATCGTCGGAAGGGAGGAGGCGCCTTCACTGAGTATCGACAAGGAAGGGGAGAGGCGCCGATGCGCCGAAGACGGATGGACGGGGAAGTGTCGCGAGGCGCCAAGGAGAAGGGAAGAGAGGCGCCGATGCGAGGGAGAGGCGCCGAGGAGGACGAACTGGCGGAGAGTCGTCGCGAGGCGCCGGGAGGAGGCGGAGTAAAGCGCCGAGGAGAAAGGGAAAATGTAAGGGGCGCGGAAGGCGCCGAAGAGAAAAAGAAAATGGAAGGGGCGCGGAAGGCGCCGAGGAGAAAGGGAAAACGGAAGGGGCGCGGCGGGCGCCTTCGCTAGTACGTCGGCCGAGGCGCCAAGGGGGAGGCGGAGTAAGGCGCCGAGGAGAAAGGGAAAGGAAAGGGGCGGCCGAATTTTGGGTGGAGAAAAAGTGAAGAAGGAAGGGGATGAAGGGTTTAAATAGGAAGGAGGTAGGGGAGCGCACAGTTCTCGAAGCGGGCCTCCCTAAAAGCCCAGCCTCCCACTACCTCAATTAAACCCCCCCCTCCTCCAAATTTGAGTGGGCTTGGTCCAAAACTGCTGCTAGCAGCATACAGGGGGTAGCGCCTTCGCTATCACCCCATGCCTTGCCCACAGATTGATCTTTACCAATATTCTAATTATTTCGTTTATTTACTCTTTTATAATTTTTTCTGTTGTCCTTCTTTACTCTTATTTGAGCTATCTATGTATTTTATTTTCGTTTTTACTCATCTTTTTATTTTTATTTTTATTTTTATTTTTATTTTTACTTTTTCATTCCAGTTTTATCTTTTAGACTCTTTTTTAGAGTATACTTGTTTGCCGATGCCACACTATTTGTGCCATCGCCAAAAGGGGCAATTGATAGGGTATCATAGTGACTAAGGAATTAATACCATGGCTAATGACATGGAGAAGGGAAGAAGACAAGAGGAAAAAGACAAGGCTGGAGAGCAGGGGACAAGCCCAGGCACCTGACGTCAGCAAGGACAAGGGGCAGGGGGACACCCTCTGCCAAAAGGACTATGAACAGTGTCAGAGAGTCTGAGGCGCCCGACCAGAGCATTTATGGCTTGGCAGGCGCCCAGACCACTACCTAACCCTCAATTGTGTATAAATAGGAGTTCTCTCCTCATAAATAAGATCATCTACTCTTTACTCTAATTTCTCTCTACTTTCCCTCTCTACATACTTCTTTTCTTCTGCTTCGGACGAGGAGGGGCGCCTACCCTTTCAAGGTCATGGCTGACACCCCAAACCCCTTGGACCCGAGCGACCCCAGTCGATCGGGCTCAAACACCAACTATCAAATGCCTTTACTGTCCATACGAAGTGACCAAGTCACATATACTAGATGTGAATACTCCAACTAAATTTGATATCCTTGTTGGATACTCTAATATATAAAAATGTGTATGAAAGAGCACATGAAGCGTGATAGACCATTCAGTTCCAATGATTAACATCCTCGAGAAAGAAAAGGAGCTATAATTAGAATGGTCAACTCGAGGACATGAAAACTCAAGAAGAGTAACCAAGAATAAAGTAAGATTTTAGTTCCAGAAGAACACATGTGTATGAAAGTTGTGAAAGTTAAGAGATCTCAAAAACATATTGGACTACAATACCGGAACAGTAAATGAAGTCATTGTCGACAAAATTTGTTGTACTTCAGTACTGAATATGATATATACAAGTGAGGATCAAGAGTAAAACTCTATTGCTTCATGCAAATGATGATGTTATTGGCCAGTATAGAAAGAAATCATGAAACTTGCTCAAGGAGCATAATGTTTAAGGACCAGAAGTCCTTACACCTGAAAAGGGTAAAACTAGCGGGATACAAACAAATTCTTGTGCTATTAGAAAATATGAAATTGTGTTAGATATAACATAATGTTTTGCAATGGGTTTCTCGAATAGACCTATCATTGTTTGAGAGGAGTTATGCTCCCCTGTGGTGGATGCAACTACTTTTTCAAATCAATGTTTGAAAATTTTTGTGATAGCCTATTTGTTTGAATTCCCTGAAGATGTTATATATATTTGAAACTCCCAAAAGGATTAATTACTCCCAGAAGGATTAATTTACTTGAAGTAAACAAGTAAAGTTCTCAAGAACATATATCTATAGACTAAGAAAATCCCTTGTATGGGTTGAGATAATATAGACGAATGTGAAATACTCGTCTAAGTGAACACCTACAACAGTAGGGTGAATGGACCTTAAAAGGTTAAATCCGGATAGAGTCATTAGAGCATTTGCATTGTGCATATATAGTTGTGTTGTCTGTATGTGCTTCAAGAATTTTAAATTCTTGATTTATGAGTTGTGATTTACTTTAAAGTATGAGTTGTGTTTTATGACTGTGCTTTGTCTAGTTCATATGTTTCTATGATGTGTGTTTTGTTAATATCTTTCGTGATATGAAAGAAATGCTTGCTTCAATTTGTTTTAGTTAAAGTTTTTTTTGTGACGATCTCATATTATGTTGATGATATGACTATTATTGGAGCTCCTGAAGAGTTTCCTAAAGAAGTTGATTTCTTAGAAACATAAGTTAAATTGAAGGATTTAAGATCATTTTTATGAGCAAGGAAGGTAATGTTGAAAAAGTGGAAAAATAATTTTGCATGAACAAATTGTGTTCATCAAATAACATTAGGATACTAAGATCACTAGAAGTGACCAAAGATCCATTTAGGCATCAAGAAAGAAGTGAAACATTAGGTCCTGAAGTACTATATGCTAATGTAGTAGGTCCTGAAGTGCCATATGTTGATGCATCAGAGCACCAATGCACATTGCTAGCCAAACACCATATAAACTATCATTTTGGTGTTGATAATATTAGCAAGATACAATGTTTCCCTCCATGGAACGTTGGGAAATACTTTGTTACCTTTAGGAACAATATATGCGATTATTCTATTATGGTATTATCAAAGAGATATTTGGTGAACTATATATCCAAACCTATATACCATTTGATCCTCATATTGGTTGATCGAAGACGAGCTATCTCTTACATATGATGATATAAGTGTTTCATAGAGAAACAAAATAAGCTATAGTAGGCAAGTCCTGAATGTATTTTGTTACACTTTGTGATTCATCATACCTAAAGGACTTGTGGTTGTGAACTATTTCCAAAGGAAATGATCTTGACGATCATGTATGAAGAAAATCTAAAGATCATGCATCATATTGACAATCTAGAAGATTGTTCACTAACTAACTCCCGACAACAATCTTTCTAAAAATTGTTCGTGAAATTTGAGTTCAACGACTCAAAGATTTGAAATGATGTGGTCATGAGGGGGGAGCATATACGCACTACACTCTTTTTCCCTTCACCATGGTTTTTCCCACTGGGTTTTCCTGGTAAGGTTTTTAACGAGACAGTATGAGATAGCGTAATGTAATCTAGTGGTCATCCAATGGGGATTATTATGTAAATATTGATATATGGATGACCAATGACCTACCACGTTAGATGCTCACTTGGGAGTTACATGTAACCCCTATTCCTATATCATTATTTCTCATTCATATCCATTGATATAAGGATGTAGTGGTTACCAAAGTGTGCCTATAAATAGAGCACACTATTGTACCAAAAGAGAAGAATGAATAAGAAGAACTCTTCCCATCTCTTCTTTTGTG